GCCAAGGGATGAGGAGCTTGCAGCACAGACACAAACAGGGGCACATATGTGCTCTCTTGGGACTGACTCATCTAGCTCATCAGTTGCCTGGGAGCTGAATTCTGAGGACATTTTGCAGCAGAAGAAAAGCAGGCTTTCCTCAGCACTTTTCCAGCTATTGCAGGAATTCATATCCTACCTTTCCAGACCTAACATGCATCTACTGGGCACCACCTCACCTTAGCAACCAGGAGTGAAGCTGATACCAGCCAGTTTTGCCACACAGAAATCATTTAATCTTGCACTGCATGAAACAGTGAGCAGGAATCTGACAGGCTTTGCAATGTGAGTCCACTGTGTAACAAGTGTTGTAGACAATAGAGTTCAAAGGGAATGACAGAGAATATCAACATCTTGAAGTGTCACAGATCTTATGATATCAAACTGTATCTGTTCCATCAGAAAGTCGTGTACCAGCATCTGTCAAACCACAGAACCCACATCCATTACTGGGGACCCTGAGAGCACAGAGCTGTTGCAGCTGCAAACATAAACAAGGGAGGCAACAGGAAGGGAAGGTGAGGATGACATGCAGGTAACTGCACTGGAGATTTGGGAGAATGGGAGATCTTGTTTGAAATATATGCTTGTCTTCTAGAGCCTCTCAGGATATCTAGCATACTTTCATCAAACTGAAGTATCTGTGATATATTGAAATAATGAATTGACTTGATTTCCTTAATTCTATTAAAAATGTCTTTTGACCAATAGGTAGCATTCAACCATTATAATTTTAAGATAAATGTATTCTTAAATAGAGCATGTCACGATTAAGGATGTATCATACCTACTAACTTATTATACCTGAAGAAAACCCACAAATGCAGCAGATTTCCTGAAGAGGAAGACTCAGGGAGATGTGCCACAATAAGTGGCACTAAAGCTGAAAATATCAGGCTCATTGACTAAACAAATTTTATGCAAAACATAGGTCAGGTTGTTCACAACTTTCCTCATTGCCTGGGTCTAGAATAAGAGGGTGCTGTTCAACCTGCTGCTTTGGAAACCTCTGAAGGACTTAATTGTCCCTGTACACATGGCAGAGGAGCTGGCAGCCTTGCAGCAGTCTGAACTCTGAGACCTTCTGGGAATCTTTAACTTTCCCTTCTAGACTCAGACAACTCCAATTCCCTGAGGGTTTGTTCAGGTGGGACATGAAAGCATATCACAAGCTCTCAAGCACTTTCATTTCTATGACTGGCATGTGCTGCAGATGACCCCAGGAGCACCAGCACCCCTGCAGACCTGCTGTCTTCATCCTGCTTTTGGGTTATATTTGATCTCCCTTAGAGAATAATTTTAAAGCATGGGGTAAGAAAAGCTGGCCCACACCTTGATTGAAATGGTGCTTCACTATGAAAGCCCCAGGATAGAGTTCTCTGGCTCTAAAGCAGAGGTTGTCCTGTTAGATGATTGCCTGCTGGGACATGTAACAGCAAAGCCTGACACAAGACTCAAGAAAATATTCACATTTATTTTAGATAGGATGTATGATCCCAGAATGTGAACTAATGCTCCTCTGAATTCCATACTCAATCTTTCCTAACAATATTCATGGAAAACATTAGTAAGATGGAAGAGTCCAGCTGTAACCCCATCTCCCCCCCTACCCCAACGCTCTGAAAAGTAACAACTGCAGTTTGATGCTGGAAAAAGATGCAGAACTAGAACCTACACCAAGGTGTGAACCCTGTACTCAGGACATCAGGTTCACCAGCTGAGTTCCTACCCTCTGCCCTGTCACCCTCAATCTCATTGGGTTACTGTCCCACAAGACCTTGGGTAGTGGCAGAAGAGCCTGCCAGACCCTGACATGGAGCCAGTCTCTGCCAGGAAGATCCAGAACACTGTGCCTGTGGTGTTTCCGAGACAGCTGAGATCTGCAGGGTGTTTTCCTGTGAAGGCATCTCTTGTGCAGCACTGCCTCACACACTCCACAAGATGCCTTTTGAATACCTAAGGGAAGAGGGCAGTGTCCCACTAACACTGTTTGCATACTGATCAAACCTTCGGAGCCCCCAGCAGCCTGCTGGGCACTGCTGAACACTCTGCTCATACTGATGACCACGGAAATCCCAGCTCTGATTTCAAGGGAACACTTTATACCTCTCTGGATCAGACCCAGTGCAAGCCAGACTGGATGCTGCCTCATGAATCAGAAATTCAGTGTCACAATCAAAGTGTAGGAGGTCAAGATTAAAAATTAAACCCAGCTGGATACCTCCAGACTGATTTTGACAGCTCTCTGAACGTCTGACTTTGTTATTGTTGCTCTGTGGTTATTTTTTTTACACAGCCAGGAAAGAAGTAAAAGGCACAGCAAGGAGGAGGGGAAAAATAAGCACAAACATTCCAGAAGGCAAGATTTCAGTCAACCATGACTCAGGAGGAGAAAGTGCCACCCACTGAGCGGCACAGGCCGCAGCTCGGTGCAGTGATGCCGCGGTGAGTCAGGAGCCGCCCCCGCTGCCCCCGCCTTCCTGCAGGGCCCTCCTGGGGCTGCCACCTCGTCCCACTCCCCTGCCCCGAGCACATGGGGTGTGACAGGGACACAGCCCGGGGGGTCTGGCCGGAGAGCCCACGGCTCGGTCCAGGGCAGTCCGGCTGCACTGGAATCCCCGTCCCTCAGGAGAGAGAGCTGCCCAGGACTTACACTCCATCACCTCACTTTGAACACTTGTGATGAAAATGAGCTAGGATCACCCCAGCAGGGCTGCAGCAACGCAACTATGACGCTGCTGCTTAACGCAGCTGCTCCAAAACAGGTTCACCTGCTGCTGTTCAGCACAGCAGCTACCTGAGGTGAGGCTTAAAAAGCATTTCCCCAGGTGACAGCACACAGACCCTGCTACAGACCAGGCTGCTGCCCCAGAGTTCTTCAACAGGCAGTGAACATCATTTGAGTGCAGTAATTGAGTTGTCTGCCCAAGTGCCAGGCTTCACAGCTCATACAGAAATTCCAGGGCTATCTAATCCCCAATCACACGCTGCAGCCAAAACCCAAAAGTAGCAGTGAGGCAACGAGCCAAGCAAGGGTCACATCAGAAAAAGGCATGAAATGAACAAGTGGAGGCTGGATTTGCTACAAGCATCTAAATATCTCTGTCAGGGTATACTCACCATCCTGGAATTCAGTACTTCTAGCATGTGGATTGCCCTTCCTCAGTGCTATCCATGTCCTCTTCCACATGTACAGCAAACGGTCACCTTGCCCTAAAAACCACTTTGGACTGGAAAGCCTGTTTGCATCATGTCCTTAGCCGTACTGCTTTCTGCCTGGATGTCCTTACCTTCTTGCAGAGAACCATCTGGTGATCAAAGAGAAAGAAAACACGCTGCTGGTTCCGTCCATAAGGCTGGTAAATCCAGGACATCTCTCCTGTATAGATCAGCTCTGAGCTGCGGTCCAAGATATCATCTCCCTAGAGGACACAGAGAACAAGGCTGAGTGAGCTGCTGCTCCCAGCAGGACAGTGGATCCATTTCCCTTTGCAGGACAGGGAGGAGCAATAACTAAATATGATTTTGGCCCTTCTGCAGCTCTCAAAGCCACTGGTCTGACTTCAGACCAGAAACCGGGGATAGGGGATAATTCTGAAGGAAGGGAAGTAATTGCATTTAATGATTTGACTTAATGATCTGAAAGGTCTTTTCCAACCAAAATGATCCTATGATTCTATAACTGAAGTACACGTGTGGACACTCGATGCATGGTCATTATGGTTCATGCTGCAATGACAAAAGAAACAGCAGAACTGCTGCTCCAGACACTACCCCTGTTCTCCCCTCACCAGGCACCCCCAAGACCCTGCATCTTGCTGCAGGTGCCAGTGGCACCCTAAGAGCAAAGCCCCTTCCTCCTGGCCATGGCAGAGGCACTTTATCCTCAGGGTAGCAAATTCTCTAGCATTCCCTCCCTTTAAAACACCATCCCAATGCACATCCCCTCCCGAGGTCTCAGGCCAGTTCCTGAAGTCATCTACACTGGGGTATCAATTCCCCCATCTGTGAAGCTGCCAAACTCATCCCTCCACATTGCTTCCTGTCTTCCCACTCATTCAGGCAATTCCAGTCCCTTCTCCCATAGTTTATTAGAGCTCCCCATCTCCAAAAATCTGTCAGGACCACCCCAGCTCCTCTGGCAGCCTCTGCCCCCCCAGGCTGGCACGGCCTCCCCAGCCAGCTGCCAGAACACCCTCACCCCTTCTCTGCCTCCGGCTAACGCTTATTTTCCTCTCCAGTTTTTTTTAAGGATTCATGAGCAGATGGTCTTGAAAACACAGCACTCTCTCTCCCACTCTCTGAGAGAACAAATGCAGTCACCCTCCACTAATTGGGATGAGCTGGACTTTTAAAAAAGTTAATTAAAATCTATTTATTAAAAATGAGTGAGTTCACCACCACCTGCCCTGTGGGCATCTCAGTGCATCTCTTGCTCTGAAACACCACAGAAGGAATCAGGATGACTTCAGCTAAAAGGTAAGGAGCAGGATTTGGGAGCAAGTGAGAGCAAAGGTTGCTTGGGTTTTTTTGGCTCTGAAACTGGTGCAGTTTTGGCATTGATGCCAAACTAGAACTGATTTCTGGGACAAGACCATCCCAAAATCTCAGCAAACAGCTTGTAAAGGTTCATTCAGCTATGGGGGAGATCTAGACAGACACACGTTTCTGGTACCACTTACACTTGTAGGTACAAAAGCAACAAAGAGTCATCCTCCTAATTTCTTGGTGAGGATTTCAGACTGCTGTTCAGGTAAATGTGTAATTAACCTTCCAGCATTGATTGGAAGTGACTGCCTGAGTCCCTGGGCCCTGTGACAACAGCAACTTCATTAAGTCACTGCATCATCATGCTGCAGCACAGACTTTCAAATCGCCTTAGCGAGGTGTTTATCCACCTCTCTATCTTCCTTCTGTGGCTGTGGGATCTGAAGGCCTAATTAGGGATAACTTCCTGGGAACACGGGGTCATTCCCAGAAGGGACAGGCTGTACATCATGGAATGTCTCAAGGAGTGTGGTGTGAGGGTCTGATTTCAGCCACGGTACCTCCTGGACCCTGCTGTGACAGCACAGGTACATGCAAGCCCTTGAACCAGAAGCCTCTAAAGAAAACACACCAGCTCCAGAAATTGCAGCCCTTCCTGGCCAAAAATGAGTTTATAAGAAGACAACTCATCCAAGCCTGTGGATGGGAGTTTTTATGAGAGGGGGTGAGCCTAGAAAAGGCTGGCTGCTAAAAACAGCCAGATTTGTCTTTTACTTCTAGGGTAGCATCTCAAGCCTGAGGACACGGAGGACCCTGTAAACACTTCTACTTGATTCTCTTATACCACCTTTTCCAACAGCATGAACTGTCTTCTGCTAGTGGAACATCCCCACCAGGGGAGCTCATGGGGTCTGTTGCAGGCTGGCAGCCAAGGAAGGGTTTGCTTTTCTGCTCCACTTGCTAACATGACTAACCCAAACATGCCTCCAAACCTGGTCCTACCTTTCTGAAATGCCTCACCCAGTCCTTCTCTAAAGCCAGTCCTAGACCTGGATCCCTCCATTCCTACACAAAACTTGGAAAAATATTTCTTTCCCATTTTTTTTCCAAGCAATTCCCAGAGAGGCTGGATCATTTGTATCTTTTGTAAGCTAAGAGAAGTACTGTTAAAAAAGGAAGAGGCTGAATTTCTAGTTCCTCAGAACTGGCAGATGTCCTACTGAAAAAATGGCTGAGTGAGACTGGATGTGCTCCTGAGGTCTCTTTCAACCTGACCTATTCCATAAGCCTATATTAAAAAAAACTCAGCCTGCATCAAGGGATTGCACTCTGCATCCTGCTACATTCAATGGGTGGCAAAAAAGAAAGCTGACTCCTCTTTTCTGCATGCAGTCACAGGCAGAGGCTGAGCACTGGGTGTGCAGTAATGGGAGCAGAAGGTCACCCAGATCCAGGCTGGACGGGTGCTTCACGCTCCCTCAAGCCTGCCAGGGCTGGAATGACATATCAAGTCCTAGGGCTAATGCTGAGTGTGACAGCAGATGGTCAGCTCTGCTACTGTGCAAAGATGTTGATCAGCTCCCCAAGGAGGCTGTAAGTGACCACTGCTTTCTGGAACAAGGAACTGGGAGGAACCAAAGGGTTTTCACTGGTGTTGTGAAAGAAATGCTGTTGGGAGCACCAGTGGGATGAGGAAGAGCATGGCCCTGGGAGCTGCAACACATTCCACTTCCCAGTCTGCCCCACTCCTTCTTTCCATGAGCATTCCCTGAGCAGATGCTGTCCCAGGCTAAGGCATGTTCCTCAGCCCATCCCACCCGCTCCCCTGTGCCCACCTCCTGATACGGCCCTTGCTGTCACCACTGGGCAAAAAATCCCCTTCACTAGTTAATGTTCAGTAAGCAGGGCTCTCTTCTGCTTGACACCACTGTTCTTTAATTAAAGATTGACAGGCTGATTAGCACTAAGGGCTCCAGAAAGATCAGAAAAAGGAAAGCAAGATAAATGTCCTTTTCATCAGGCTCATTTTTTGGTACCTTCTGTTGCTGGGGGAGAAGAACAAAAAAAAATAGAAGGATCTGTTTCAGTCTCTGATGCAATTTTTTTTCCCAGGAGGATTTCTCATCAGGCTGTCCTCAGTTTGAAAACACTACATTGGTTGCATGCATCTTTTTTTTCATGTCATTCTTGGATTCAATAACATAGTATTAGGCTGAGGCCAACTATTACATAATTAAGGGCACCAAGTCTTGATTTAAAGGATCCGTAAATAACAAGAATGGGAAGAAGTTTAAAAAGACAGTGTTCATTATACTTCTCAATTATATATATTTTCCCTTCATGTAAATTTAACATTCTTGAAAGCTGCCAAAGTGGCAACCCATGGGAATCTTTGGTAGAAATAGCTAGATATCTACATAAACCAAAGTAATCTGTTGAAATAGCAAGTTAAAACTGATCTGGGCTGATGAGCAAGGCTCTCTCCTGTGCCCAACATCCCACCACTGGCTCAGGGAGCTCCACAGATCCCCTCCCAGGGAATGGGTGCCACATCACCTCCCTCCTCTGAGAAAAACTTGGTCTGAAAGGGAGGAAAAGTGTTGCTGGCAGCTGCCCCAAGGGCTGGGAGGGAGCCTGAAATGCTGCCAGGATTGCTGCTCCATTTTGCTTTGGCTTGGTTCAAGTGCTGTATCAAAAGGTATCAAATAGAGTGTGAGAACAGGCTTCTCTGCTGGCTGTCCAGCAAGGACCACCAGGAGAGGACAGGAGAAGGGACAGCAGGGATGTGCCACACCTTCTCTCCCACTGCCACATTTGGGTGCCTGCACATCCAGCACTGCCCAGCCTGGGGCTTGCAAGGACCTAGAAATGGTGATGGACTTTGTGGAAATAATCTCTTCATAGTACTGGGGGGTGTGGGTACATCTAGATATTATCCACTGACCTTTGAGCTCTGTAACTCTCTCTCAGAGGGCAAGAGCACAACAAGGGACTGAGCACATAAAGGCTGCCTGGGACAGGCTCTCTCTGGTCTGTTTAAAGCCTGGTCCAGAGGAGACCTTTCAGGCTGTTCTGAACCTGCTCCAACTAAATGTGTGTGCTGGGTTTGCCTGCCTGCCTTTAAATGTGACTGCCTTGATCTGAGGGTATTTAACTACAAGCAAGGGGATGATGCTGAGCAAAGGGAAATAGAGGTTGAACATCAGGAAAGACTTCGTAACATCGAGAGCTCTCAGACATTGAAAGGTCTCAGCAGGAGGTGGTGGAAGCCCTACATTCTGCACCATTAACAACTCACAGGACAAAAGGCACTGGAGAACTGGTGTAGGCAGGGGCAGCACCTCTCTAGGTCTGTTTATGTATTGGAAATCCAGGTTACAAAATAAAGAAGTGAGTCCCACGTGGCAACAGGCCAACCCAGGCTTTTTGGTCAAGACCACGTTCCTACAAATTTCTACAGGAGCACATTTATTAAAGAGTGATTTGGATTATTTCTCATTTACAGCAGTCAGTGAGATCAGAATCTTCCCCAAAGATCCTGCTCAGTCATCACTTGTATAAAGCTGCCAATAATTCCTTATGACTTCAAGTCCTGGCTGCTACAGCTCTGCCACTAGAGTCAGGCCACCCTTTCCTGGTCCCATTTTCAATTTAAACCATCAGACCCTGCTGACATGAGTTCTTGGAAAAAAATCTGGCCTCGGTTAACTCGAGGATATTCACATTTTTCAAATGCTGACCCTGAAATTCACTTTCATGGGGTCATGCAGAAAATCTTGAGGGATCAATATGATTCCTGAAACACGCAGGCACAACTCCATGGGATTCAGTAAAATCCCTTCTGTTTAAATTAGCTAGGACATTTCCCCTACTTTTTCTATTTTGATTAGGATCAGCAATACGTAAAGAATCAAGCAGTAAGTCCTCTGCTCGACCTAACTCATTCTCTAGTGTTCTCATCACAACTCTATGACTCTTCTTGAGCCAAAATACAGAATAAAAATAGCAAAAAGGGTGTTTTGCATTGAATGGGGGCATGGGCTGTGCTCCTATTGGAACTCTTCGATCAGCAGCTGGTTTGGCTGCATTATGAGAAGCTGCAGGATGTTGCTGTAATATGTGCTTAAAAATTGAAATAGTTGAAAAAAGCCTGGGAGAATGATTTAACAAGTCCTGAGGATCGGATGGAGATAAAGAATGGGTACTGCTAAGCAGGAATGAATTATCAAGGATATGGCTAAATAAAAATGAATTATCAACTGAGCTAATGGAATAGATAAAGAAACTGCAATTCCATAGATCCTATGTGGAGGTCACCTTGACTTTCCACTCACACATGAATATTCACAGACTTGGAATTGATCCATCCCTAATCTAGATTTATTTACAATGAGGGTCTAAGCATTTCTTACAAATGACATAAGCTCATCACATGGAATATACTGAAGGCTGAAGATATATCTGATGGTCCTGTCCCTCCTTGAGAGCAGTTTTCTAATTCTGAAAATGAGTCTGGGTGTCAATGAGAGAGGTTTCTTCACAGTAAACAACAATAAAACAATCAAGCAAATCACCTGCACTCCCTGCTCTCACAGCCAGTCATCATTTAAGAACCAGCTATGATTGCCATCTATCTTTTATCAAGACAGCCAAGGTTGAATCCAGCCTTCATTATAGCAGTGAAACTAATTCAGTCAAGGATGTACATAATCAGAAGATGATGGATCTGTTTCTCTCCCTCTCCTCCCAGCCTGTCCAGATCTTTTCCAGAAAAAAATAAGAGGTTTATTGTCTCTTTCCCATAGACTAATTTACACAGTATGATCCCACTGACTTGAGTGTGGAGTTATTCCAAATCACGACTATGAGGAAGAAGAAAGGCTGCTCCATCATTCTAAGTGTCTACTTGTTAAACACATGGATTGATGGCAACATAAAGAGGGATTTACAAAAATATTTGTCCTCAGGCTGCTTCAAAAACCCTATTTACAGATTACATACATACAATGATTTTTTTTTTAAATCGGGGACAAAAAGAAAAGGAGAACATAATTTTAGTATGGTTTTTTTTAAAACACATAGCAAAAATGTAGGAGAGTGAAGGCCTGTTAGTGAGGAATCCCTAGTGAGGAATCCCTCTGCTGACTTTGCCTTGCCCGTGTTCCTCAGCTCCTTGATTATCCTCACAACACACAGGGCTGATTCAGAAATAACTTTTAAGTGGGTGTTCTTTTTAAATGTGCAAATAGCATCTTCAGCTTAATGTGCTGGCTTCTAATCATAAAGCAACCACCAGAAGAGTTTTCTCTATTCTCTTAACCT